CACTTAGATGTCTCTCTAAATCCGGATTTTTTTACTTCCAACAATTCCAGATACACTTTATTTAACTATAAAAGTTTTTTATAAAAGTTTTTATAGTTAAATAAAGTGTATCTGGAATTGTTGGAAGTAAAAAAATCCGGATTTAGAGAGACATCTAAGTGAATCTGATTCAATACTGTAGTTTTTCAATCCTTTACAACGAATGGGGTATCGGCCATACAATACATTTTGCTTATTGGATTCGGCCATTTTGTGGAGCTGCCATTTGCAGCCAAAAGGAAACAACGGCTTGTTACACGAAAAAGCATAAGTTAAGGTTGACTTAAGTTATACTTAATTTAAGTTTCTTAACGTAAGTTTTTTCGTAATTTTTTTGGGCTATATTTTAAAGCATGGATCCCTAATTTACGGAAACGGCTAAAGGTATTTTAGCTGAAATAAGCATATTTTTTTCATCTCAGTCGACGTACCATTACTTTGATTTTGATAACTAAAAGTTGATTCCAAAAGATATTCTGTAGATCATCTCAAATATGTAAAATTCTACGCTCTACCTGAATCCTGAGGTTTTTTGAGGCAGAAACTAAACGTTTTTGACATATCTTCGATTCTAGCGAAAGTCAAAACATTTTAAAGTCTGAATTTCGACTTAATGAAGACAGAATAAGCTGTAGTTTTGGTTTCATTGAATCAAATATGAAAAACTTTTGGAAAAAAAAGTTGGATCTATCTTCCGTTAACCTAAGTGTATTTTCCATCGATTTTTCGTTAAAATTACAATATTTCACGAAACTATATTTTGAAACAGAATAGTTCATCCTTAAAACTAGCTTCGTACGGCATCTTGCTTAGTCTTTTACGCTCTACTGGCTGAAATACAGACGGGTACAACGGGAAAAACTAGCTGAGTTGTAATGAAACGCCATCTATCGCGTTTAGGATAATACGCTTTTTCTTTTAGTCAATGGAAGCGCAACTTTTTATCGAATACGAATCGTTTTTTTCTGTAATGAGTCAAAAATCAAAATTTAATTTTTCTTTCATCTGCTATTGACAGCAGTTAGTACTAACAGCTGTTTGTAAGACGTTATCTGCCAATAGCAGGTAATTTCTAACAACAATAATGGGTCGATCGATCGGCATAAACGGTTAAGATACGCTAGAACGAAATGCTAGGACTGCGTTTAGCCCTACCTCATCCTCTTTTCTGATTGATCTGTAGGATAGACACGTGTATAAAGATTAGAGGCCTTCATGGACACTTTTCTGTCCATGTCGATCATTTTGTCCATGTGTTATCACTAGGTTCAACCGAATTGTTGTTTTGAAAAAAATTTAAAAATTTTTCAGTTTGTCCATGTACAAATTTAAAAAACTGTCCATGTCCGTGGACATGTGCATCTAATGCAGGGCTCTAATAAAGATACCTGTGTTTTGTTACGCTCATTTTACAGGAAACATGCAAAAAGTGTTCGTATATATTGTATAACGACATCACATACAACAAGAAGTGCATTAAGCTCTCCCCTCTCAGGAATTCGATGTTTTCTTCGAAACCTTCGACACTGAAAGTAACCATACGGTTCAGTATCCCAAAGTGTGTCATCTTTCAAAATCCATCTCAGTTTGCCAAAAATTCAATGTGCTTGGAGGATTTTGAAAACGATTTCTAAAAGCCCTAAAAGTCACCTTTTTTTAAATTTCATGTTTTAATTAAAATTCGTAAGGTTGTCCGTTTTAACAGACGTGGAGCTATGTTGAGCAGAGTGTGCTGATCCGAATAAGATGTCCAGCAGGTTTGTAGAACTTTGTCTTGCGAAGTTATACTAGTTTTGCTAAAGGGGCTGAACTATAATTAATGAAGTGATGACGTCATTGCTTAGAATATGGTTTTGGCGCAGTATAGTTGTAATAACTCCTAGATGGTTCGCCGTAAAACCTTCATTCTTTTTTTATTTTGTAGCTAAGACATTTATCTAAACTTTGATCCGTTGCGATTTTTGTTTTCTGTGCAGAGATAAGTGGCAAATACGCCGCCGAATTAGGGTTATTTTCAGAGGTCTGACTTAAAATACGTGTAGGGAATGAACGGAAGCGAAATTCAAAAATCGCCACGGATTAACTTTTAGATTTAGGTGTGTACTTTCATTTGAGGCCTCTCGCAGCTTTCTGCGCCTTCCAACAAAAAGCCATAACGCTTTTGCTAAGAGCCCCATTCTCTCCGTTGTCACGCAATAACTCGGCAGCGCTTCAACGTTTCGATCTCAAATTCTTAGCAAAAGCTCGTAGGACAGTAAGCATTAATCACTGAAAGCACCATCGAAATCGGATGTAAGATAAAAAGGTTTTTTGTTTACTTCGCATAGAAAACTCGTAAGAAAAGAATTAATTCGGTTGTTTATTCGGTTAAGATACTCTAAGACTGAACAATGGTAGGGCTGAGAGCGTGGAAATTTCTGTCGTTCATTACAGACTTGTGCCTCTGTGGTAAAAAAATGTGATTAACAAAACAAAAATGCTTAAGGGCCCCCCTCAAGATTCGATTGGTTAGACTAAATTGCTGAAAAACTAAAGAATAAAAACTAACAAAATTTAACGTTCAGATTTATCAAAAGAATTTATTTAAAAAAAGAAAAGAAAATATCGTCGAAACAAAAATACGGATAGAATTTTTTCAATAGTTTATTCATTCAAGGAAAAATGAAATCAGATTTATCTGAAGCGATTTTCCAGACAGATAGATAGCGATTTTCCATGCCTGTTTTAAGTTTTTCATTTCTCATTTATTTTCATCGTTGTTGAAGAAGACCACAGTTCTTGCAACTGTTCCAATCGATACGATGCACGATAACGAACTGATTCCGTGTTCTAGTTACTTCACGGAAATCTGCAACACTACAAACATTACACGCCCGACAGTATTTACTAGTAACCTGAGAATTCTTTCGATGAATAGACGCATTACTGGAATTATACAGTGATAGCGTCTTCGAAACCAACGCCAGTTTAGCAGCGCACTGTACACGTAAGTAAATGTAAGTACTCAACCAATTATTCATAGGATAAAAAGAGACATACGCTTCGAGACACAACTGAGTCGTAAGATTCTTTACAACATGTATACAATTAACAGTAAAAGGTACTCGGAGTAAGTTTGTCGAAGGATCTTCTAAAGAATTTTCACACATCTCTTATTCAGGAAAACAGGATCATGAACAGACTTTCAGGGACTGTTCTTCTGAGTCTCAAAATCTGAATTCTCAACTATTTTTGAAATCTTGAGCATGAATATTTCAGATGCTAATTATGAGTGCAGACAATTAAACTGTTCAGTGGTTCAGTATTTGAAATCCAAGATTATCTTTTTCTGTTTTTATATCTTCTCCAACCAATCACAAACATCAAATCTGGAATTGCTCTCAAGCGTAAATACTGATAAGCATATACGATGGTAAAATAATTTATTGCCATAAAAGCGTACTGCAATATTTCAATATGTCAATGTCTCACCTAATATATACCGTATCCTGAAGAAAATTCAAGGACATAAACGCTGCTAAATTGGCTTTATCGCCATTTCAGTTTTTTCACATTTTTAAACAAAACAAAGTATAAAATAGCGTATCAAAACAAAACAATAAAAAGTAAATAAACAGTTAACGTTTAAGCACATTTCCAAACCACTATAGCCGTTGTTCCGCCAAAATACATGTACAGTAAACTTTTTACTTCATGCTCAATGAAAAACCTAAAAATAATAAACATAGAGGGAACTTCTACTAGTAAGGTGCTTCTGATAAGTAAGGGTCATATTATAAAAAACGTGGTTAAAACTCCAGAAGGATACATTCGATATGCTCTACTATTTTACTATGTATTGTGGTAGTCAAGCCGACTGTCTGTGTCCTGTAAGACGGCTGAATGACAGTTATTTTACAAACCATAATTTATCGATGAAACATAGATGATATGGGTCATCTCCTGTCTTACAGCTTACAGCACTTCTATATAATAAATATAATCCATAATATAAGGCTCTAACGTAAATGAATCAAATTTCATCATACGAAGTTCTCGCACGACTGTGAAACATAATGCAAGAGCTCATATGAGGAAGCTATATGCTAGTTATGGAAAGTTTATAGTTACTAAGAAATTATGTTTGTAGCCGAGTAAAAACAAATTAATGCATAAATATCTGTTTATATTCGCCGAGGAAAAATAAAAAATAGGAGTATGCTGAACACATCCAGTGTGTTCTTGTAGAAAACACATTTCTCACAATCGATCAGGCATATGAGTATGTTTGCCAAGACGGTGCATCGGCTATTAACCAAGTGCAAGACTATTAACTCTTACGTACTTAGGTTCGGTAAAAATTCCCCCAAAATCAGAAACATTTACGTCTGAATTCTGAAGACGTATTTCTTCAGAAATATACTCAGAACTGGTCCGAAACACTCAGGATTGGGGGAGGGCGACCGAAAACTTGTCACTGCGCGAGCTTTTTTTTCCATTTGGCTGGTGAAAAAAATGATAATTTCAATTATTGAGGGTGTCATCCACTAAGGCAAATTCTACAGTGTATAGTTAGTCGTACCCCATTCCTTCACCGACAACCACCTGCCATGTTGCTCCAAATTTTTTATCCTAAAATGATGAAACAGAGAGGAAAGTTGACAAAGCAAAAAAATTGGTCATTAGGCCCGTATTCACAAAAGAACGAAGTGGGTGTAATCTTTCCTCCTGTTGAAGTTCTTCGAATAATCTTTTGCACGCATTCGATAATTTTTTACGTTAACCAATACGATAGGTTACTATTGCAATTTGCAATAACTAGATTTTTATTTTCTACTTATTTTTTGCTCAAAAAACTTACAATTTGAGTAAGAAGTTTGCAAAGATTACTTCAAGCGAATTAATTTATTCTGCTCAAAATGAATATGATTGTTCAGCTTCACTTGTTTCAAGTAGAAAAATCCATGGCATTTAAAGCAGAATATTTCCTAATTTTTTAAAAGTGCACACTTAAGAATTGATACGAAAATCTGTCAGTTGCATAGTTTGCCTCTACACAAAAACACTGAAACTTCGCATGGTTTAACCCTACGTTTCAATCCGTTAGATCACGACCATTTATTCTGATTGAGGAAAATATGCTACCGAGTTATTGGCATCCGTTTTGAAACTCGACACCAGAAGTTCTCACAGTTAAAACATTAAGTCATGATTTAACATATGCGAATCGTCAACACCGCGCATGTTTTCATGTTATACGATTCAGCCTGACGTTTTATACCTCGGTTTAACTCCATCGTTATTTGAACAGAAAGCAATCAGACTATTCGTTTATTCTAGTACTGTCCACTAAAAATCAATATCCTAATTAAACGTCTTGTAGCCAAGATAGTCATTGTTATTTTTATATATGCTGTTTGAAATCAACCATAAAAATCCAGATAATTTAAGGCTATTGCATGAAACATAATAGTAAAAAACGTCTCTCTTTGAACTACTCAAAACACTTTTCATGTAATAATCCTCTTAATAAGTTTGTGAGTACGGGCCTGCTGTTTACTCGAAATATATTTATTTTACCATGGTTTCTTTGATCATTCGTGCAGCATTCTAAAAATCAACATACAAGAGCTAAATTGAAATGCCCAAACGATAAAACGTAGTCTAAACAGTTATACTTACTTCATTATTACTAGAAAATTTTTCGCATGCTGTGACACATAATTCCATACACTCTGTTTTTAGTTCATCATTCATATCACTAGACTGAAAGAGCAAAAAGCAGAAGAAACTAACAAATCTGATTTTCTTTTACAGAAATTTTTATCAATTCGTATAAGTTGTCAAGACATATGAGAACAATGATCTCCAAGTTCTTGAATACATTTTTGATAACTTTCAGAGTTTATGTCAATGTGTATGGACGAAATGCCCCCTCCGTACACATCTGTGCGAGGAGGACATTGAACAACTTTACTTAACACTGAAGACCAACGTATAAACGAAGAGACGTTGCCTGTATAACTTACCCTAATTAAAGGATACGTATGTCTTTTTGGTTCGTCTTTTTGTTGTGTTTCAGCTTCCGCGCCCTCAGCCATGTCTTCTAAATAAGAACGAACTTTCACTTTCTGCATGAAAATTAAGGTTCATAACAGGTGATAGTTTGAGTCGGTGAAAAAGCACTTATAGAAGATAGTGTTACTTTAATGTAAAGTATAATAGACAGATCATGCACACATAACCATTTGAGCTTGATGACTACACGTAGTAAATGATAAGATAGAAAAGAGCTCAAGTCTTGAAATATGTAGCTGGTTTATGTTTTTCTTCTTCTGGCAGACGTCATTTCATAAGAGGTAGCTAAGTAACGTCCTTCTTCAGAGGAAGTGACTGAACAGCATATTTCGTTCTTTTATGTTAAAATATATACGCTAATCTTGTTATTCAACTGATTAAAATTGTTTAAGTTTACTTTTAAATTCAGATAAGGTAGCAGTGATTCAGAGAGACAATTAGACTATATGGAGATTCACTTATTTTTTTGAAAAATGGCCGGATCCAATCATAAAATTCGCTTGTTGAGCTTTCTTGCTTGCTATACTTTGTATAGAATAATGTTAGTTGTCATATATGGACAAGATACGCTTGGATTAACTGTCAAGTCGAACTGTCATTTCTAGCGTGCTGAAGCCGTTGAAAATGATCTAGCTTCTTCTGGCGACCTTGACTCGCCTTTTTTTCAAAATTCTATGCTGAATGTGTATTCTTGACTGGTAAAAAAGCGATGGTTTTGCAAAAACATGGCATCAAAAAATTATTTTATTTTATAACTAACTATTGTGCTCCAGCGACTTGTACTTAGTAAGAAAAACTGAGGGTCTTTAAATATTTTTATAAGGAGAATAAGCTAAAATAAACTTTTGTTTTTAGATTTATGTCGACATCTTTGTCCAAAACTTTTCCGATAGAATTTATCTGGGCTTGTTTCTTACTGAATTTCGCTTCTTACTACAGTACACCTTATTGTCATCTAGACAGCACTTTGCTTTAAAGGGTTGACAAGACATTACGTAGAACGTCTTCAATGTTAAGTAATTTTCTTTCATCAGGAAAGATTCCTCAACTGTCTTCTGTCTGACTATCTATTGTAGAAGGAATAGTATATCTCTGAGCTTCCAGCAGCAACTTGTTTGCTCAGCATTTTACATAAATGTTTATTTCCTTTTGTAATTTTCTATCATTAATTTTTTAGCTGTGTAAAAAGATGGTATTTATTTATTTGTTTCTACTCTTTTTGTAGTTAACTTATGGATTCTCGATAGTTCTTAGTCAACGTAGAACTCTGTTTTTTTGCGAATTTCCAGTTTTTCAGATTCTTAGCGTTTTTCAGTGAGATTAAGTAGAATGCTTCAACCCACGGCACGTTTCTGTTGACATAATGCAAGAAATATGAGTTTTTTAAAGTAGAAAAAGTTTTCGGTCATTTGTTGTTCATTTACGAAACAGCTTTCGGATGAAAATATTGCAGAAGACATTTCGGATCGGTTATTGTTCGCTGCGGATAACTGGACAATAAAATAGGATAAAAGAAGGATTTATCTGGTCGAAAATAGTGCTGAACACGCTTCTGTCGACTCGTTCTCCTTGGATCTTCTTTAAAAGTCGAGTGAAGCGTCTTTTTCTAGTTTTTTTTAAACGTTCTCGTTTTTAACTGTGAAGTTACCTGTCGATATCCACTGAAAAGTGAACATCAGTGAAAATGCGATAGAAAATACTGATAGAATGAATAATCGAATTAGATGCGAAATTTTGTTAATCAATCCTTGCAGATACTACTCTAACACCTAGTTTTTCAAAATGGAATTTGTGTAAGAAGTTTGCAAAGATTACTTCAAGCGAATTAATTTATTCTGCTCAAAATGAATACGATAGTTTCAGCTTCACTTGTTTCAAGTAGAAAAATCCATGGCATTTAAAGCAGAATATTTCCTAATTTTTTAAAAGTGCACACTTAAGAATTGATAAGAAAATCTCTGTCAGTTGCGTAGTTTGTCTCTCTGGTTCATAACGTTGCGCACGTGCTTTGCAGTTCATTTAAAGTCTACGTTTAACTATCAGTGTCAACCTTTCTGTTAATAGTTTAAGAATGATTCATGATTCAGTTGAATCAATAAAAGGGAAAACACGAAAAACTGAGATTTCGATGAAGACAAGACGTAGTGTAAGATGGATAAATAATGCTTGTTTTGCTAATTCGGGTCGCTACACAGTGATTTCTTTGCGAACTTTTTCTGACAGCCGGCTGTTAACTAAAAGTAGGTCAAATTCCATTTCTATTCTAGAAAATACAAAATGAGATGTTTTTTATGTTATAGATTTGTTCTGTCATCGAAACATCATGATGAAAATGGTCCAGCTCTAATGATAAAACGTCGAATTTGAAAGAAAATGACTACTGAGTAAGTTACCTTGTATAGATTTTTCACGCTGCTTTTGACGCGTGTATTTTAAAAATATTGAAATTTTTTTCTAGAACAGCAATGGATGATAATGGAGAACCGAATGAAATACTATTTGTTTCACCTGATTTGCTCTATGACGATGAATCAAAGCAATCAATACAATTCTCTCCTGTTCAGTCAACTAGTGAAGACAGAATGGATACAGAATTATCTCAACAAGATGCTCGTTTATATTTATCCTCTTGTGGTTATTCAGGGCAAGTATTAAAGAAAATCTGTTGGTGCTTATATTTACATGAAAAATTTGTATCTCTTCCAGATCAATTGATAATCCAATTCCGGCCAGTTTATTCGAATCACTTTGCCATAAATCCGTTTGTGTTCCATTGGAATATGTTGGAATTAGTACCGATATTTGGTCTCGTTTAGAAACATTTGTCGATAATTTAATATCAAATGGTTTTCTTGATCCATATAGTATTTTATATCTGTCATTCAAGAAACATTATAAATATTCTAAAGAGTTAAAGTCATTTTCTATTTTGTTGTTCAAACGTTGGTTAAAGTTATCATGTGAATCATATTATTCAAAATTAGAATTATTATCTTCTCTTATTCCGCATCATCATTATCAAAGTGGATCACACATGTTTCATACAGCCAGTGACTTACGTTCATCATCTACTCTTTTAACATATAAAGATTATATTAAACTAGCTCCTTTACATAATATTCTCGATGAATGCAAACAAGTGTGGTTTTTATGTTCATTAACAATATTAATCAATTCAAAACCACCCATAATCAAATTACCTGAGTGGATGTCATTAATTGATTCAACATCGAAAGTAAAACATTCAAAAACAAAAACAAAAAGCTTTCGGGTATCAATATTAGTTGCACTGACACCAAGTGGAAAATATTCGAATCAATTAGTCCTTTTTCGACAAGGAAAAATAAAAAATAATTTTAAATCGTCATCATTTGTCACTATTGATGAAACATTGACAGGTGACATTACATCAGATCATGTTGAACAATGGTTTCAAGGTTTTACGCAATTTTTGCAAAAACAAACAACAACAGAAAGGTAAAATAGATTTTATTTTTTTTACTCGGCTTTGCTCAGATATTTATTATTTTCTCTATAGTTTATCAACACTGAGTGAGACGGGCCTGTTATTGGATCCATGTTCAACATTAATTACCGAAAATTTATGGTCCAAATGTCAAGAAAATCACATCAAATTGTTTACATTGAAGCGTGAACATTATAAATATCATTTATCAAATTTAATTACATTGATTGAATCAACGTGGAAACAAGCAAATCATCTTTATAAAATGCGTATGAGTAATATTGATATTGCACGAATAATACACACGTTATGGTTTACACTGAGAGCATTGAAGAAAAATTCAGCGATATGTCATTTGTTTAAAATAGATGGCAGTAGTCGAGTTTCATCAACGGATAAATCGATACAAGATGAAGTAGGAATATGGAAACCATGTGATGAATTGTACGATCAAGAAACAAGAAAATTAACGCCACAGATAGTCAAAGTGAAAAAAGAAAAAAGTAAATGAAAAAAATGAATATTAATTACCAATAGAATTTATTTATTTTTTATTTATTTAAGACTTTGCTAATGTGACTATAACTGAAAAACCAAAACTTATTAAGAAAAGATCAACAATAGCAGCAACAACAACAGGAACAACAACAGCAGCAGCAGAGGAAAAGTAAATATATTATTTAAATGAACGCGACTCTTTTCTTGATGTCAGATTGAGTTGCGAACTCTTACTTGAGTCAAAAGCACTGTCTGTCCTGTAACTTCTGATTGAAGATAGATGGAGAGGCCGAGTTTTTGCCGCTTAAAAAAAGAGACTTGACTCGTAAGAAAAAAGTTTTTTTTGAAGATAGAATTTTGAGAAAATGTCTTAAACCCATTATACATTCCAGAAAATCATGTAGAAACGTTTCTTCATGGATAGCTGTCCGAAAAAAAAAGACTTCCGACTATTTTTATCTAATATTAAAAAACTTATAAGCTACCCAAAATCAGTTCAAATGACGTGAAAAATTAATACGTTAGTCAGTTTTACGTGCTGAACTCAATTTGCGCACTCTAGGATTTGAAAATGTTCGAAAACCACTACGCTGATTTTCATATCTTGTATTTGAGAAAACTGTATCAATAGAAAATAGACTTTTTTGCAATCAAATTAAATACTGCACAACTAATATTAACCTCTGAAATATATTTATTTTTATTATTCTAGTTCTGACCGTTCTGATCGTTATTGTAATTTATCATCGGATGAAATATTTGATTTATTATCTAAGCGTAAAATAAATCTTTTTCGTGCTTCAAAACACTTGAATATAAATCTGAATTATTTAAAAACTTCTCATTGTTTACAAAAATCAAAAACTTTAACATCCGAACGTTTAAAACTTTTAAATGAATTTATGCAATCAGAACAAACATGTCATTGGTTGTCACGATTAAAACAACATGAATTTTTATCTTATAAAGAACTATTTTTACGTATCATCTATTCATATACACAACTACGTCCTAGTAAAAAATCCGTACCATCATCATTTTATTGTGATTTACAATCACCACAGACATTCTGGAATGAATTTCAACAATTACATCAATATTATAGTCCAGAAACCACTACTACACCATCAACAACAATTGAACAATGGCAAACAAATTTTTATACATATCTTAAGAAAAATCGTTTATCAAAACAGTTAACAAATATTTGGACATTTGATTTATTTGAATTTCCTTTATTAAAAAACTCGACTATCTTGCAAATACCTGAAATAAATGAAAAACGACCAAATAATGAGACAATGAAAATAAGTGTCATCTATTCATTCTCAAATGATGGACAAACGACGAAACCATACTATATATTTCCATATAGTTTAAGAAAAAGCAATGAAAAAGGATGTAAAGATGATGATGATCATGTTTATAATGAAAATGGTCATATTGATGCAACTAGTTTTCTTAAATGGATCAATAATGTTTTTCTACCATCATGTACAAGTCGTTCATCAAAGAAACCCACATTGCTCGTGTTTTGTTCACGTTTACCTGTATTAAATGGAGACGTATGGACATATCTAGATACAAAATATATTCATTGCTATGGTTATCCGTATGCAAATAATTTACCTTTCCGATATCTTTTTGAACGAAAAATAAGAAATCGTTCAATAAATATTTTTAATGAAAACTGGAAAAAGACTTTAATTGATAAAACAGCATTTCATTTATTAAAAAATCAAAATTGTAATGTCAGTACCATTAAATATTATTTTAATTTAGTTATGATTAAAACATTTCGTGATATTCAAATGGAACAAGAAATAAAAGAAGATGGAGACGAAAACAATGATGATAATAACAACAATAGTAGTATCAATAAAAATATGGCAAATCATTATATATTTAATGAACGTTTTAAGGAAAAATGCGAACGAGCATTTAAACAAGCAAAAATTGAACTGATTGAAAATGATGATCAGGATGATGCTGAAGTGTTATTAGATCAAAGTAAGCTATTTTTTATAACTTTTAGCAAAATCTGAACGAAAAGTTCGATTACTTACAGAAAAGTTTCTAAAGTAGATTGACTTGATTATTTATTATTTTTTTTTTACTTCAGAAACACAAGGAGACAGTTGGAATGGTTTAGAATTTCAAGTTAAAGGAATGAAAAGACAATCTGGACGAACCAGTGTTATTCATCCACATTTATCATCTTCTGCGGAGAAAATCTTACGAATCAAAAAAACAGCATCAACAAAAGTAAAACAAAGTGAAACAGCAACAAGTTTGACTGCTAAACGTCGATCACAGCCAGTACCAAATCATTCTCTTGGTATGTAGACCATATTCTCCATTATATACTGTATATATTGCATCTCATTCTTTTTCAGATACCGATGTACCTCAAAATGCTTCTTTTCAAATGGATCAGTTACTCAATGTATGTTTTAAAAAGTTGTGCTTTTTCTTGATAAAAAATTATTATTATTATTATTTTGTAGACCTCATCATCTCAACCATCCGTTCATAGTCCAGATGATCTTATTAAACAATTGAATCAACTGTTATCCGTCATTGATCAAGTTAAAAATCATTTGGGAACTGGTAGTCAAATATCTCATACAAATACAACTGATCATGATTTATATTCGTTGATTATGCCAAAAGAAAAAAAACATCCACCAACAGACCGTTCAATTCTTTTGTCATTACTTCCAACAATCGATAATCCACCTTTGTCTCCTCCACATTCACCATGCATTCCGCTACCTGCGCTACCACTTCCCCTTCTCTCTCCTACATCCGCTTCTTCATATCGAAAAATTTTACCACGACCGACATCTGATTCTTTTCTCAATAGTTCAGATACAATTTCAGAATGGCATTCTACAAATTCACAAGAAAACAGTCAGATGAACTCTTCCAATTCTGTACTAAAAGTTCAGAATATTCTTGCCAGTCAATCAGAACTGGATAGTAAAAAGAGTAATTCAATAGTACTTTCACCTAGTAGTAAAAAATTAACAGAAGAACGAAAACGAATTGATTCAAGAGACGGGAAAGCGAGTGGTAGTGCTTCTAATAAACGAAAACACCATCACGTAGAATCATTAAACGAAAAATTACAAAGTCCAGATGTCAATAAAGAAAAATTAAATTTACGACGATCGAAACGAATGTCGTACAAACAAGAAGAACAAACAATAACTGATGAACCTAAAAAGCGTAAGTTCTAAAGAAAAGCTGATTTTTATTAATTTATTTGATTACTACTGTTTGTTGTTGTAGAACGCTGTTCAGATGATAATATTCAAAATGAAGTAATATCGTCATCAATTGATCGAGAAAATGTTCATCCATCTCAAATGATAGATGTATGTATTTATTTGATTCTCTTGTAAACTCTATTCATTGTCATAAAAATGAAATTCAAAAAAAATTATCATTATATCTAGAATTAGTAGAAGTAGAGCATTCGGTTGTATGTTGCCATTATGAATTTCTCACTTTCTCTATTAACGTCTTAATTTGTTTTTTTTCTCTTTCAGATTGAGAATGACGAATGTATTCGATTAACTCCAACATCAAATGTACTTATAAACACAAATCAATCACATTTACCCGCTATTCTTTCACCTACGAAAGTAAGATTATCAGCTGATGATGTGAACGTTTCTCGTACAAAACGTAAAATATTATCGAATGACAATGAAAAACCAGAAGAACAAGAATCTCATATTTCTAAACGTTTACGATCATCCTCAATGTTAAAATCTGTTCAACAATATCAATCACAATGGATTCCACCATCAAATAATATTATAACATGGTTAAAGTCAAGTTCGACATCAATTTTAAGTCTTGTTTATGCCTTAACTGAGTCGATTTTGAACGATGAAAATATCGAAATTGATGATAATTTAACAGATGACCAATTAGAATGGGTAAAAATGATTGTTAGTGGAATAAATCCAATGTTTGATAATAATGACGATTCGACAAATAAAATATGGCAACTGATACAAGATACAAGTTTGTTAGCTTGGAAACATCAAAAAGAAAAACGTCATCTGTTTCAAACCTCAATATGATCTCATTTTTTTTCTTCTTTTGTTTTTATGACTTTCATCTATTGCACATGTTGTACAAAACACATCTTTTTTTTTGCATATGTCTGTGTTAAAATTAATGATCTTCTATTGTTGTTATTGTTTTGGAAACTGTTCTCTTCATTAGGAGAGAATCGGGCTTCTCCGTGATTTTCTTCTGAAAAAAATATATTTGTTTATTCATTTTTGACATTTTTTTTCTGCTCTGGTACAAATTTTATTTTGGTTACTTAAAACTTTTTTGTACTCTTTTTCTTTCTCTTGTTGATGAAATAAAGAATATCATTGAGCTCGTGTTTGAACATTTTTACTTAACGAAAGATTATTTTGTATTACAAACACGTTCTCGAAACTAAAGATTACACTTTTTCTTTTCTATACTCTGTTTAAAATGCGATCTGTTATTCTACTGAGTGTTTCTTTTTACTAGGCAAGAAAATAAATTGAATAACTTGTTTGTTTGAATTTCTTACGATTTTCTGTACATTTTATCGTTTTGAATGAAAAGTCAGAGGAGAAAAGAACAGCTATTCACTGTGAATAGAATGGGTACAAGCAGTTGTTGTTATTCTCTATTTTGCGCTGAGTTTATAAGTGGACCAATCTGAATAAAAATATTAACATCGTACTCTCAGTTGACAAACGGTTTAATGATTTTATCATTTTAGATTGAAAAAAAAGCGAGAAAATGGCGACGTTAACTCAAAGTTCTAGTTGGAAAAATTTAAAAAAATTATACGAAACAACTGGTTTACATTTAGAAATGCGTCAACTATTTTCTGAAGATACACAACGCTTTGATAAATATAATATTAAATTGGAAACGAAAGATGGTCCAGTATTATTTGATTATTCTAAAAATATAATTACTGATGAGATTTTAAAAGAATTATTTCAATTATGTCGTGAATGTAAAGTAGAAGAATATCGTCAAAAAATGTTTAATGGTAACAAAATTAATTTTACTGAAGGACGTGCTGTTTTACACACAGCATTACGTAATCGTTCTCTTCAAAAATCGATCAAGGTTGATGGTGCAGATATTATGCCTGACGTATGTTTTCATCATATATTACATAGATCGATTTTTTATATTGTGTTTATTTTAGGTTTTCAGAGTATTAGATCAAATGAAAAAATTTTCAAATTCAGTACGCAGTGGTGATTGGAAAGGTTATACTAATAAAGCAATAAAAAATATTGTTAATATTGGTATTGGTGGATCCGATTTAGGACCATTGATGGTAACAGAAGCATTAAAACCGTACGGTAAAAATGGTCCAAATGTTCATTTTGTATCAAATATTGATGGTACACACATTAATGAAGTATTAAACAAATTACAACCAGAAGATACACTATTTATCATAGCATCAAAAACATTCACAACCCAAGAAACAATAACAAATGCTGAAACAGCAAAAGAATGGTTTCTCAATAAAGCGAATGATAAACAACATGTAGCTAAACATTTTGTTGCTCTATCAACAAATACAAAATTAGTAACTGAATTCGGTATTGCCAAAGAAAATATGTTTGAATTTTGGGATTGGGTGGGTGGACGTTATTCACTTTGGTCAGCCATTGGTTTGTCAATTTCGTGCGCAATTGGTTTTGATAATTTTGAACAATTGTTAAATGGTGCATACGAAATGGATCAACATTTTCAAACAGAAAAATTAGAAACAAATGTGCCCGTTATTATGGCAGTATTAGGTAGGATAGTATTTACAAGCATCTAATGATGACTTTTCCAGAAGGTTTAAGAAATTTTCTTTGTTATTTATTATTCGAATGATTTTTAGGTATATGGTACAATAATTTTTTTGGTTCTGAAACTCAAGCCATTTTACCGTACGATCAATATATGCATCGTTTTGCTGCTTATTTTCAACAAGGAGATATGGAAAGTAATGGTAAATATCGCACAGAAAATGGTGCACAAGTCGATTATTCAACGGGTCCAATCATTTGGGGCGAGGTAGGAAACTCATGTGCCTATTTATATTATGATTGTTACTATTTTATGTTCTTTTGTTAGCCTGGGACAAATGGTCAACATGCATTTTATCAATTAATTCACCAAGGGACAAAATTAATTCCATGTGATTTTATTGCACCAATTGAAACACATAATCCAATTCGTAATCATATACATCATAAAATATTATTAGCTAATTTCTTAGCACAAACGGAAGCATTAATGCGTGGTAAAACAGAAAAAGAAGTTGAAGATGAATTTCGAAAAGAAGGACAAGATATGAAAAATAATACGCTGGTATATCATAAAGTGTTTCGTGGTAACCGTCCAACAAATTCTATCGTATTACCGCGTATAACACCCTTTACATTAGGCTATTTAATTGCTCTTTATGAACATAAAATATTTGTACAAGGAGTTATTTGGAATATTAATTCATTTGATCAATTCGGAGTTGAATTAGGAAAACAATTGGCAAAAATTATCCTACCTGAATTAGACAAAGTTAAACCGGTGACAACACATGACTCATCAACAAATGGATTGTTAAATTTTATCAATACACATCGAACATGGGGATCAAAAGAATCGTGATATTTTTGTAGTCATCTGTGTGACAGTTCTAGTCCTTAGTAAACAGATGATTGACTGACTACATTTTTGCGTCATTCATTTTGTTTTTCGACTCATTTTTCACCATAGTTTCATCGATACACTGTTTTTACTTTATTCGTCTACAATTGTACGTCTACCTTCTAAGAGAACTATAGGATAGATCTTTTGAAATTTCAGACTAACTGCTTTTCCCGTCTTTCACTTTATTTATTTATTTATTTATTTTAATCTATTTATTGAAGAGTAAAAGGTAGAACAATGAAATGAATAGTTTATTTTATTGACCCTTGCCATGATAGGTAATTAATTCTAGTCTCAATTGCAGTATCAAACAGAATAAAACATAGTGTATGATTGGTAGTAATTTGTATTTTTTCTGATGCTCTTCGTCTAATTCACAAAGCATTGTTATTTGCTTAGAAATCTCATATATTTCAAGGCTTATTCCCAATGCAAAATAAATTAAACCTGCTATTAGTCATTCCATGTTCTAATCTCACCATAGAATAGAACTGACATGCATGATAACAAATTCTACCTTCTTTTTCTAAAAAAATCCATACAAAATATGTGTTGTTTGTGTAATTGGTATTTTTTAAACTAAGTTTACTAAAATTTAACTACTATTTTTATTCAGATAAATTCTCGTTTTTTTAGATAAATTTGAAAAATCTATATCGCTCTTAATGGTAAGTAGTTGCACTATTGTTTGTCTCGTTAAACGTTTTCGTGATGTTTTTTTATCTCTGATTAATAGCAATTCTGTCAATCCTTGAGTCTACAACATTCATCATCAATTATTATATCATAATAGGCATACATATCTGTTTATATTCTTCCTAACATAAGAATAATGGTTTGTCTGTGATTAGAAACCAATATTAGTTCAGGCTCACGAGCGTTCGATAACAAAAATTCGTTACAATCGTAAGGGCGATCTATTATTTTCATCGGGAAAAGATCGAGCCCCATCTGTTTGGTACTCTATTAATGGTGAACGCTTGGGTTCTTATAATGGCCATACTGGTACTGTGTGGTGTATCGATGTCAATTGGGATACAACCTCTTTCGTATCAGCTGCAGGTGATAGTACCATGAAATTGTGGGATGTTCAAACTGGTCAACTGAAAACAAATTATACGCATGAAGTACCATGTAGAATATGTGCATTCAGCTACGATAGAACTCTAGTATTGTATTCGAGTGATGAATCAATGGGAAGACCATGTGAATTATTTGTGGTTGATGTAAGAAGTAGACGTAGGTATCTTATATTTTATATTAATTGTCTTTTAAATAGAAATTAGTATTATTTTTCTATATTTAGCTGAAAGAGGGACCAAGTAAACGTATTAATGTTTCATTGCGTCACCATAGAAAAGTGACGGGTAGTTTATGGGGTACATTCGATGAATTTATTGTAACTGGTCATGAAAATGGAGAATTAGTTCAGTGGAATATGAAAGTAAATTGGTATTGTTTTGATGGTGAATGGATGGAATATAAAAAAAGTTCGTTTGGCTGTTTAGGCTGGAGAAGAAGCACGAATAGAACAGCCACATACATTACAGATAATGGATTTACAAACAGACAAAGATTTAACATTAGAAATATTAATGCATTTAAAAACATATGTAACGAAAAGACCAATCAATTCAGCTGCCATATCGCCAATAAGAGATCATGTAAGTAGACGTTTTACAACTATTAACTAACGGATACTTTAACCGCTATTCAGAATATTGTACTTTCTTTTACGTTGTTCTTGGAGGAGGTCAAGAAGCAATCGAAGTAACACAAACATTAGCACAAACTGGTAAATTTGAAGCAAGATTTTTTCATTTGATATTCGAAGAAGAATTTGCACGTGGGAAAGGTAAGAGTAATGACTTCATTTTTTGTACGAAACAAAATAAATTTTATACATTTTATTTGTCTTACTTATAGGTCATTTTGGTCCGATTAATAATTCATTAGCATTTCATCCAGATGGTAAAAGATGTGTAGTGCTAGTTGAAATGTTGTACGTGTCAATCGATTATTTCATATATTACTACTCTCGTATTTTAGCTATGCAAGCGGGGGTGAAGATGGTTTTGTCAGATTACAATATTTTGATCCCGATTATTTGGAGTATCATTTAGCCTATTGAGAAGAAAGTCGTGTCCGTTATGTATGTGTGTTTATCCAATACTCAGTTATTGCCGTCTTTTTTATTTCTTACTCGTTGACACTGAGTTTTTTTTCTTTTTTTTTGACAATTTTAGTTATTTTTGTTACGTATGAAAAATAAAAATGATGCACGTTAAAGTTTCTTTTTTTATCACAGAATGAGTGTGACACATGTGTGAGTGATTTAGTGTAACATGTTTTCAGACAGTATTAAAATTAGTGTCGTTAATTATCCATTGAATTTATTCGAAAGTTCTTTATAAAATGAAGTTCAACTACAGATGTTTGTACAATACAATGTACAAACATCTATAGTTGTAAATGCGTTACATAACTGAGCAACAATATTTTATAATAATTGAAAAAACTACAATCATTTTCTTTTTTTTGTATCCAAACATAGATCATCGGTGTTATATCGTACAATTAATGATCATTTTTCTTGGATGTTATCATTATTCAGTGCTCATCTGTACACGTTGAGTTTGAATACGAAAAATTTATTAATAAGACCGAATATCTAAAAATCAGTTAACACAATAATGACACTACCGTTATTAAAATTGATTTTTGACTTTCAAAAATTAAACGAAATAGCGGTCCTCTATAGGAGGGGTAATAAACAATGTTATGATTTAGTGTGTGACTGATATTGTATTTTTTTCATCGGCAGACGATATTTGTTTATTGAACTTTATAGGGACTGCACCAAATTCTCCTTCACTTCTTGACTGTTGTTTTTTAAAATATTTTATACATTTATTGGATTTATCACTAATATTTCATTGTTTACCGAATGTGACAAAATTATGATGATGATATTATTCTACAGCCATTTTTTAACTATTTAATTCGAAATATAGGTGAACTTCGATTGTATATTAAACAAGGTAAACATTTTATTGAACAATTCATCCACGTTGAAACACAAAAGCCACAAGCAAGACTCTTTAATTTGATCACAATATATGAGTTACATTCAAAACGTAAAATAAAGTCAACATTAAAACATCAAATAATCAATATTGATTTTAAACAAAAGAGACATAATTATTTACAATGGAATATTAAAACAGATTTTGATTTAATTGAATTTTATATGAAAAAATAATTGTGAATATATTTATGAAACATTTACAAAATGGATAATCAATGGTCAGTCTGTATTTAATATTAACAAATTTGTTCTATTTGATATTGAACTTTCGATTGATTAGAATTTAAATACAACTCTCAGTAATCTGTTACCTGTATTCTAGTTTATTGTGTATTTTCAACAAGTCATGTTTTTCATAATGGTTAGTTCATCTTTTGAAATTAATGAGTACCGTTTGAGGTTTTAAGAAGCAAAAAAAATTGTTTAAAACAGAAAAGTTTAAGAAAATGAGAAAATGTATATATTTATTATAAAAATATGAAACAAAAAGCTGTAGCTAAGATGATTCTCGAGGTATTGTCAACGTTGAATTCAGCGCTTTTGTTATAGTTGTTAATTTTGAATTTGTAAAGAAAAATTTGTGAATAATAAACGCAACGGTGACAATAACGACACAAAGAGTCATTATTGTTAATATGTAAAAGAATGAATTAATAGAACAAAATTTTTGTGAAGATATTTGATTTTCTTTTGATGCAATAGATGTTTGAAGTAATATCTCGCTTGGACGTGATATTATTGTGGATCGTTTATTCATTAAGATGTTTGATTGAATAGGATCTACTAATTCAATGTTAGTAGAAAGATATGATGGTTTAGTTGATATTAGACGATATTGTTGATTATTTTCTTTGTCATTATGAATACTCGGTCGTATGAAAGATAATGATTGTTGATTTTGTAGAATAATTGATGCTGCGGGCATAATTGAAAAGTTATTTTGTTGTTCTTTTCCAAAAAATGTTTGAACAGTAGTACGAACTGAGTTAAAAATTTGTTTATAAGTAGGTGATTGATCTATATGAAGTTGTGATTGTTGCTGTTCTTGTAAACTTTGAAGATTAGTTACGTAATTTGCATCTTCATTTGTTTGATGCAACGATGTTCGTGTTGAATTACGCATTATTATTTATACATTAAAAAAAGAAATATGCTCTATATCTAAAATGTAATTAGGTTTTGATCTTAATTATATTTTATTACATTAAAAAATTAATAGTTGTCTTATTCAAATTAATTAGGATAAATTGTTTTTCTATTACCCGCAAAAAAACAATTATTTGAGCTACGTTACTATTCACTTTCTGAAATCTTTTAAATGAATATCTGTTGACTCTAATTCATACTAGCAAGTTAGCTAATTTCGTAGTTACTCTAATAATGTTTTCTTGGTAAGAATGAATTCAGCTAATATTCATCCAATAGTGGATAAATGACCTTTTCAACTTAATAAAGGATATAATTAAGTAATTGAAACGTATGAATATCGAATGACTGGATCTACTGAACGGTTCTATTTTGCTTTAGATTTTCGTGTTACTCTTAAATTGTAAAGAAGTTATGGAAGTAGAGGAATGAAATGAAAGTCTATAGTATACTAGAGCAGCGTGATTCAGTCGGCTAGTGAGCAGACAATGTACTTCAAACATACGGAGTTCAAATCCCGGCAACGGCGATCGCGTGATAGTCTTGGACAAGCTATCTAATGTTCATTATCTCGGTACCTTTGGGCACAGATGCAATAGGGTAACCCGATTTCAGTGCCATTGGACGGGAGAGATGAGAGTTAAAGTATAACAAAAAAGAAAAAAAGGTATACTAGAAACAACAGGAATTTTCAATATTTTAACTCTCTTTTGACATGCCCACTATAAATCGTAACGGACATTCATCCGATCAATAGTTAGAAGAGGACCGATAACACTTATCTAACTTTTATTACATTCTTTTATGATAACAAAACTTAAATTTCGTATAGGAATATATGATCTAAAAATAAACGTGAATGTGTTTCTATCTAAAACTTCGATCAACGATTTACGCTAATAAAACTATTTTTATAGGAAATCCGGAGCATTTTTTTCTCAATTTTACAATTTTAGATAAATAAATAGTGTGTTTGACGAAAAATATGTTAAATGTAATTCCAATTTTCGAACACAGTGAACATTTCTAGATTATTGAGCAAACAAGACAAATTGATTTATTTAACTTCCCAATGCCATCATTACCATCACTAATTGACAAACAAAAACAGCAGAAGAAAAATGTTGTAATATTACCATCTACACAATTATCATTATGTCAATCATTCGTGAATCTACCTTTAACAGAAGCAAAAAAAGTATAATTTTAAAATTTTATCAAAAAAATCTTCTCATGATCTTTCGTCTTTTTTAACATAGGCAATCATAGCTGATGCAAGCAATGTTTTATTGTCAAAAACAGACGAATTATCTTCATCAACAATTTTGAATGATGAACACGATCAATCTCCATCAACTAAATCAACAACTAATCGTCGATCGACAAGAAGACGAATGGTAAGAGTATTATTTTTTAAGTTAATCCAAACTAATTTATTATCTTTTAGAGTGTTATACCTAGTCGAAGTACATCTTTAACACAAACAATTTTTAGTTCAAATACATGCGATGATATTTATCCAGCAGAAAAAGAAAATCAACAGGTGTATAAATCTGTTATTATTGCAGACATTAGGAGAATAATCGTTGCTATTATCTTTTTTAACAGTCACCAATAGGAACAAATCAACATCGTAAATCCATCTCAAAATTGAGTTTAACAACACCACAACAAAATAGTACAACAATTATTGATGATAACGTTGGTAAACTATTATTTACAACACCGAATGAAACAACAACTGATCATAAACAATATTGGACAGTAATAGATCGTCAGTCAGAATGGTATAAATTAACACTACAGCAACCATCAACAATGATAACATCTACACTAAGTAATTATCGAACAATCAATAACAGTGCATACGAGAGAAAAAAATCGACTCAGAACATGCCAGGAAATGATAGAAATGAAGTTAATCAACCAGCGTGAGTTATTTTTAGTAAGATTTCTATTATAATTCATATTGTTTCATTTTAGTGATACAACTCAATTAATCACTAAAACATTGATGCACGATCTCGATTATGATCTTGATGATAATGATATCAAAATGTTAAATGATATAAATCATTATATAAAACAAAATCGTATGTATTTCTTAAATTTTTGACTAATTTTGTTAATGAAAAACTTTTTCTATTTTCGTTTTATAGAGTTTCGTGAATTAACTGAAGAAGAATTTGAAAATGCAATTATTGTATTAGAATTTTATACAGCTGAAAAGATTCGTCAAGCATTGAAACAACGATCATGTGAAGGAGATGATATTGTTTGTGATATTTGTTTATTACCCGATGCTGATGAACACAATGAAATGGTATTTTGTGAAAGATGTAATTCATGTGTACATCAGGTAAATAGAAAAAGAGAAATAACAAGTAGTTGTATAATAACTATTTCTAATCGAATATTTCAGGCATGTTATGGTATCAATTTTATTCCAAGTGGTACATGGCTTTGTCGAGCATGTTCAATATTAAGAAGACCGGCATGTCTTCTATGTCCTCGAACAGTTGGTAATTGGAACTTGTTTGTCATTTTTCTGTTATCAATTCGTTCTGTATTTTTTTTAATGCTATTTAGGGCCAATGAAATCGAATCCTAGTGGTACTATTTGGTGCCATATGACGTGTGCCCTGTGGATGCCGGAACTAAAATTTGCAGAGTATATCAAAATGGTAATATTTTGACGGAATACTTCGATTTCATTTTCTCATACATGAGGAAATTTGTTATCATTCATTTTTCAATTATTGAATCGTAGATGTGATGTGTAATGTGTTATCTTATGGTCATTCATATTGAGCTGAAAAAATTTTGGCATGATGTTCGATCGCTTGCTCTATCTGTTTTAGGAACCAGTTCTCAATATTGATAAGATTCCTCATGCACGATGGTCATTGAGATGTTGTGTTTGTAATACGACCGATGGTGCATGTATTCAATGTGCATATGGAAAATGCCGAGTACCATTTCATGTTACATGCGCTGTAGCAGCTGGTTTCTATCTTGATTTTCGTCTATCATCTGGTGATGATGGAGGTTCTCAATTTGATGCCTATTGTTCAAAACATTCTGATGTTGTTCGTGAAGAGACATGTGATATATCATTAATGTCATCTAAAATTCCCTATACAGTTTATCAACGAGATTTGTTAAAGCCAACATGGACAAATGAAATATTATCAACATTCGATAATTATATCGATCGTGAACATTTACATCGAGAATTAGAATATGATGTAACTATATCGACAATGATTTATGATTATTGGTTTAATAAACGAAAATATATGAATAATAATTTACCATTGGTTAAACGTATTAATTATGTACTTGATCAACGAGAAAATTCAGAACTGTTGCTAGGACAAATATCAAATTCTTTAAAAATATTAATGAAAATGAAAGATGTATGTCTGTATTTAGTATCATGAACTATTTATTATTGAAATATGTGTATCTATTTTTAGTTTGAAAAACGTAGTGAAATTGTACAACATAAAAACGATTTCATTTCATCGTCATTATCAGAACGATTAAATCGTATAAAAGAAAAACTAAATATTCATTCTTCTATTATTCCTCGTTCTTCAAGAACTCAGTCCTCCTCTAGTTCATCATCATCAATATCTCACAGTTATACACAGTGTATTTCACTCGTACACCAACAACAATTAAAAATATCAGCAAAACGTCAACTATCTTTAACATCTTCATCAATGAAAAAAGATGAACAATTACAAGATCAACCTGATAAATATGATATAACGAGTAAAAACCAAAAAAAACATCGTCCAACAATCTATTATTCATCCAAACAAAAACAATTGTATGCAAATATGAAATCATGTTATGTTGGATTAGAAAATACATTTACTGATATTGAACCACATATTACATATCTAGTTGCACGAACGATGGAGAACAAAGATCAGACAATATTGTTACCAAAAAATTTATTTGCCACAAATATAATCAATATCACGGAAGACGACATGATGATGGCAATAGAACAACCACAATTACAAAAAGAAATAACTCCACCACTACAACTATCACCATCTCCACCTCTAGTTTATTCTGATGTTTCTAATGATTCTACCGATGATGATGTTAAAGCAACAACAAAACTTTCTTTTTCTTTAAATGAGACGACTCTTCCACGAGGTCAACAATATGTGAATAAGGGAAACGTGATCTATTGCTCAACCGGTGGATTTTAGCGAAACAAAGTCTTATTTAAATTTGCAATTCTATCACTAAATCTTATTTTTTGTAATTGTGGACTTTTGTTATTTGTTTTGTTAAATTTTTTTTTTGTAAGTAATAATGTATATTATTAGATAAATAAATAAAAGTTTGACGATATATCTTCTATTTTTTTCTTTTACAAATAGTACCGATAGTAGATACCATTGAAAATATTGTGAGCATAAAAATTAAGGTCTAAGATATATGCCCTATCAGTTAATCTATACAAAGTGAGTTTTATTTTTTTTTCCTTTATACATTTTATTTCATTTCATTTCATTCATTTATAATCAACATACCATCTGCCGTGCAGAATCTCAGAACTATAATTCGATGTGTAATGGATTCCAAGATACGCCTACTTACCAATTATGGGTTATTTAATTTAGAAAAAACAATATCCGGTTCGTGCTTGAGATTGTCGTACGACAGACATTTGAATTAAAATGAACCGATTATACCGTCCATAGTAGTATATTTTCAAATCGAGCTAAAGAGATTCTTCGATTACAAAACATTTATAGTCGATATTGTGAATGTGAATAAAAACAATATCAGTCAATGAGGATTCATCTATTATCATCAAATAAACTCTTATATTAAATAAATCGTTCATATTAAGTGCAGTTTCATTTTATTCGATCAACTTATAAAAATGATAAATTACTTATCCTACGGTATTTCTTCACTTGTACTTGGATTTTAATGGCATTTGTGAATTGCATTATAAAATTATTAATAACAATTAAATGTGAATTAAACTTGAGAAAACCCAGAATACATCGACAGTGAAAGCATACTATTACGTGATGTTTGTTTTCCTGCTGTTAACGCGCACACTTTGATATTATCAGACACCAGCGAAGTCAAATCTGAACTCGAAAAGTTTTTCACTGCATTTGGCTTCAGGAAAGACCGAACTCATTCACCTCTGCATATTATGTAGTTTGTTATATACTAAAAAAACATCAAAAAAACTGCTGTAAGTAGAGACGCACTAGATCCTATGCATTTATTAAATCCAAATTTATTAAACTTTGACATTAATTTTAGCTTTAATGGAAATTTGGATTTAATAAATCCTTAATTGAAAGTATAGAATTAAACTTTGATATTAGTAGTTCATTGAATGATAATGATGATGAAGCACGTGATCAGAATCGATTACATCAGTTGCCGAACTATCATTTATTTTCACTTCAGTTATTTCTATATCGAAATCATAAATAAAAGAAGTCTATTCTTTAGTTTTTGTTCACAAAAAAGCTTTTGAGTTCTAATAATAAAACAAATTATTGGATAAAACTATTTGTTACTGTTATTAATCGTCTTTCATATCGATTTATTTCTGACAAGAAAGGCACTGATGATTCTTTTGGATGATATTATTAAAAATTGAAATATTTGTAAAAGTTTCATCTTCTACTTAGTTGAGATATATAGATTAGTTCATTGAAAAATACAACGATGATAAAACTCTCAAACATTCGTCTTTTCTAGCTAAGAAGGACTTAAAAAATAATTTCTTCTTCTTTTTTGCAATAAAATCTATATAAATTTCTTTTTTATCTATGAATAAAAGTCTTATTATTGAGAAAGAAAAGGATGTAATTAAGAATAAAGATCATACTGCATCACCTGTCAAAAACAACCAGGCTAAAGAAAAAAACGAGTTTTTCTCATTGTATAAAAATCCGATTTTGCCAGAAGAACTGGGCTTATAAGATCCGTTTATGTTTAATATGTCTTTATAAAAAAATTATAGCAAACACATGCTCGTATACAGATTAGAATACACTAGCCTATCATTCGTTTTATTGAAAACAATAGGTCTGATGAAGAAAAGTTTTCTGCTTCTTATATTATTTTTTACAGTATATATATTAATGTTTGTATGTCGACAATCGCCAGTAAAAAATACCAAAAAGAAAAAAAAAAAAAAGAAGAAAAAAATGTCGTGAGTAGAACGAACAAAGAAAAAAATTGTGTTTGACAGATTAAGTCAAGTTTGATCGTAGAATGACTACATAACTCTTATATAGTCTGAAAGTAAAAGAGTTCCATGAAAAGAAGAAATTTTACAGTATCAGAAGCAAAACAAAAAAAAAAAAAAAAACTAGAAAAAAAAAAAAATTCTTTTTACGTTTATATTTTTTTTTTTAAAAAAAATTTTTTATTTTTTTTATCATTATTCTTTTTTTTTTTGTAGATAGAGAGTCGCTATTCAATGTTGACTGCATTTCGGATAGCCCTAATTATTTCTACAATCTGTAGTAAGTAAAATATTAATAATGATCTTAAAATAGAAGTCAAATTTGATGTCATGTTTTTTTTGTTTTTTTTCTAGCTTGTAAAAGTATAGAGAAACAAGAATTGAATTTATTTGATCCGGTGTTAAATGCAAATATTTATGTTGGACAAATTAATGAAAATGGTAATAGTGTTACGTTAAAACCAAAATTACTAGCAAAAGATGATGATAGACGAAATTCGATTAATAGTATGTTTATACATATATTATTTATTATTATTTTTTAATTTTTATATCATATCTCTTCTAGATCAAATCTGTGGCTATGAATTATCTGTTCATAATCATAATGATTTAGATATTGAACAAAAAAACATTCCATTTCAAGTTGATTTAATTAATTCATCGACAAATCAATCTGCTGAAGGACGTATTACAGTTAAAAATTCATTTAAAATCGATTGTGAAATACAGCAACAATATAAATTCTTTGTTAGAGCATACGATTGTAGTGAACAACTTCGACGTTATTCGAAAAGGTAAAAATAATTTTTTTGTTGTTTTTTATTGACAGCAAAAAGCAAAGACGTTTTTTGTTTTTAAACAATATACATTTGCAATTTCTTGATTTGATAGACAAGGCTAGCCTATTTCCTTTCAAAATAGATATTTCAAAATGTTTGACATTGACCGAGTAAATTATAATTATGTCTTTTAGTTGGATAATTTTGTTGACGAATCATGTTTTTTGACTGTAAATAACAAATTGAGTAACAGTTATTTTCATGCTTAATGAACATAGAAAAATTTATATTAATTATTACTAGAAAGATAGATAGATTCAAAGAAAAAAACATAGGTAAAAGGCGAAAATAGTCTTTTTTTTTTTTTCCTTCTTCTTCTTCAGTACTAATGATAATTATAGAGTGAGTGTGTGTATTCATTAATCATTCTATTCTCAAATGTGAGTGAGTGTGACACTCAAGATTTTTTAATTATGTAGTCGTTCCATCTATTTTACTATACTTTGTCGTAGTTTTAGAGGAAGTAATCCATTTTTTCTTTTTTTCCTTCTTCAAATTAGAGTGTATAGTCGATGAACAATTTCTTTTTAATTTTCAAGCAAGAAAAGAAGGTGATGAACAAGAGCTAAGATAAAAACGTCTATTTTTTTCATTTTCATGTTAAATGAACGTACGTTTACAAGAAGGAGAAAAAAGAATGAAAAATGTTTTTCTATAGAGAAATTTTCTAATATAAACACACGACTACCACATAGTTTGCATAACAAATATTAACGATAATATCTAAAATTTTGTTTATCTTTCAATACTATGCTAATAAAACATCTGAGAATAAAAGAAAAAAATCTTTTCGATTCTAATAATGAGTACACAGACCGTTTCACAAAAATTATTTGTTCCAGAAAATAGACATTTAATTTGATAAATTTATTGTACAACCGTATTTTAGTGATCAAAAAATCTCTCTTACTATCTGCGCAATCTATAAGACTCTTCTTCTATAATGTTTTTCTCACGAGTATAGAGATCTGCTTTAACCTTTTACTGCACAATTCAAAATATAGATAATAATTTCAATTTTGTATTATTCTTTCCTTTGAAATTAAGCCACTAAAATTTTCGGCTAATATTTATTCACTTTTAGAAATACTGATTTCAGAAAATAGTAGTCTGATTATAGAATCGGATCGATATTTTGCCTGTCGATTCGGGTTCGGATCATATTTTCTTAATTCGTACAGGTCTCTGTACGTAGGTCAAACATCGCCAGAACACTTTGATGATTCGATTTTAGAAGCGATCACGCAGATCACAGGAGAATAATTAGCTTATATAAAAAATAGAACATAAAAGCATACCAAAAAGATATTACTGCTGATAACATCAAGTCGATTGCACAAATTTAATCGTTGGACAGAATATAGACAGAGAAGAGTGAATTTAGTTTTGAAGTTTACTGCCAAGCTAAGTTCATGTGTTCGAATTCATACAACAATTGATTTTGTATTTTTCGATAGTTTTAGTTTAGAATACTATAATGGAATATTTTTGCGCTTGTATTCTGACAAAATAAAGCTTATATCAAGTGATTACACAACGTTTTACTAATCATCATGTTCAGTTTATTTTAAATAAGATGAATAGAGTTTAATACTAACAATATGTCAACATCTTTTTTCCATTTATTGCTTATGAGATTGACTAGAAACAAAGAAATATTTTATTTTCTAGTAAAAAAATCTATCTAAAAAATAGTTCTGTGATTTGCATGTAATCTGTTTTCTAAAGGTATGATGAACGAGAACATGTCAATATGATACAAAAAATTTATTAAATATGAGATTAAAAAAATTTCTCCAAGTTAGTTCTTTAACGACTCTGTCTATCTCAAAAAATGTCAATTCTAGAATTTACACATGGTTAAATAGCCTGAAGTATCTACTTTCGAATGTACTATAGATGTACGCTAGATCAATTTATAGACTTTTTCCAATAATAAACCAAAATCCATCGTAGTATAGTTTATCTTGTTTTAAGTTCTTCTATTTCTAAAACATAAATCTTATTCTACGTTTTTGTCAAATTAATTCATATAATAATAACTCTAGGAAAAAATTATAAATTAACTATTGCATATGTAAATACACACACATTTCCAGCGATTACAAGATAGTTTTCTGGAAATATTTACACAATTTGTTTTTGTAAGAAGAAAAGTACTTTAGACGTAATAATCCATGATTTTCATTCGTAATTAAAAAGATTTGTAGGAGAAAAATAATTTATATTATACTTTGAAATTCGTGAAATAAAACAAAACTTTTTCAAGCAAAAAATTCTTTTTTCTGTCATCCTTGTCAATTTAACTTACCACGATTATTACTTTAAATGGTCACGACCATTTCTTAAATCACTTATTTCGTCGTCAAAACTTAATTTTCAGAAGTCTAAACTTGTTTTTCTCAAATCATTCTTGTATCTGTCGCCACCATTTGCAAATTTCTTTTCTACTTTAAATTCGAATACCTTCGTGTTCGTATTAAATTAGAGTAACAACAATACGCATAAAAATGCCCATTTTCTCAATTTTTCTCCTGGTCTTTGAAAAATAATGATTCCTGTAAAAGTAGCCCATGATTTTTCGAGGTTTTTAAGATAAACGTTGAGAAAACATTAGGAAGGAAAATTTTCAAAGATCAAACGCTGCTTTGTCATAGCGTGAAGTTTTCTTTTTAAGCAAAGGTCAACTCATCCGCCAAGCTATTTAATTTTTCTCACATAGTTAGTATTATCTGTTTTTTTTATAGAGTACCAGTTGTGATCAATGTTGATGATGTTAACGAATATTCACCGACGTTTACACGCGATAGTTATCTGTTCAAATTAAATGAAAATGGAATATGTGTCAGCGATTTGTGCAAGGTAAGTCAATAAATTGTTATATTTTCGAGTTTTTTTTAAAATATAATAGATTTTCAACATAATTTACAAATTTATTGCTTTTATGCACTACTGGATATCTAGTATAAAAAATATAATATCAGAAAATCTTGGCTATTACTAAAATATCTAAAAATTGATTAAAATTAACTTCTAAACACGCAATTTAAGATAAATTTTCTATTAAAATTTGTTCTTATTTATTAAATTAATATATTTTCATGATATTTATTTAGTTATATGAATAATTTTTTGTTAGATAGTTAATGATATGTCATGTCATGAAATATATAATCGCCATTTTCCGTTCATGAAACCAAATATTAAGTTTAAAATATACAATTTGAATTTCTTTTAAACAAGTGAATTTATATTCGAACAATTTCGCATGACTTCAGATTATCTTATTTTGAATTTGAATTAAGAATTTGATTCTGATTTTGTTGCTATAGCGATGATCTAGTGTATTTTCAACAAATCATAATCAATGAAAACTTCGATAATCTTTTAAAAAAATAATTCATTTGACCTAAATCAGAGAACTAAATAACGTTCAGTTAAACAAATTCAGAGATAGAGAATCTACCCGTCTGAGTGTGTAGATCGTGTGTAAATTCTTTTCCAATAGAAATAAATGTTAAATATTTGTTGAAACTATAAGAAAATTTCTCCCTGAAAAATACCGTGGAAATTCTTTTTTCACTAAACTAGAGAATAACTTATTTCCTTGTATAGAGAGCCATCTTTTTCGTATTTTTAATTCATTTTATCTGTTTTTGTACTCGTTAAATTAGTAGGAAATAAAAGATAGAGTCTTATGTTTATAATACTAGAGAATGTAGAAAAAGATAGGACGAGCTATCAGAAATGAATGGCAAAGATCGATAAAAACTTTTTTGTAAATTTCAACATGTGAAAAACTCTCAAACTTACGTATGGATCCTGTATGTCTGATCAAATAATAAGAAATTGAACAACAGTTAGCTAAACAAGATAAAAAAAGAACACTTATCCCTAAAGCGTAACAGTCTGAATGAATATGTTTTGTTACTTATCGTATGACTTAAATGTACACATTGAAAATCATTAATAAAGTAGCAGTTTGAGAAACTTTTTACTCTAGCAAATTTTTTATCCACACTCGATTAGTCGTTTTTCTCAATAACATTTTTTTCTTGGGATTTTTATATTCAAATTTCTTCGTTTCAAAAAGCGAGTCTGTTCATTATGCATCAAACTAAACAATTTCACAACAACAGAAATGTTTTATTCTTTTGATATCAGGTTAAGGTACATCGAGATGTGCAATTTTTAGGATGAGAAACAAACGATCGTGTTATAATACGTGTATAAATTGAGGTAATGAATACATGTGAAGTGCGTCAGTCACTGATAATATAAACTTCGAAGGCGTTGAAGAGGTGATGGACATTGTGATTATAATTAGAATTGGCAGAAAACGATGATAGAATGAACACCACCATAGAAATATATTAAATTTTAACTCATCCTACATGTTTTGATTCTAGAGTTTAGTGAATATTTTCATATTTATTTATATCTCTGATGACATAGTTTCACAAGAAACGAAATAAGAACAGAAAAAAAACAAAATTCTCTGTTGTAGAGAGTACACAAGATCAAAAGTTCAACAGATCTAAAAAACAACAACAATTTCGTGTTCTATTTACAAAATAATTGACTTGGTTGTAATGATACAATCAATGTTCTTGCACTTTAATTCAGACCGATACATTGGAAGAAATCACCAGTTATCTATTATGAACGAGTCAGTGGTTCATACATTTAATAAATCTCTTTTACATGAGTTATACGATAATGACCAATTTAATGTTTTTTATCAGAAAATGTTTTGTTCACATTCGTAATTTATGCGTAACAGGATTGCACTCGAGCTTTTTTTTTCCACTTGATATATACTCTTATTTTCTATTTTTATACCTAACGATTATTTAATGGATGTCGTTCGAATAAATGAGGAAAGATCTTTTTAATTCAACTTTTAAGAGAGAACATTCTAAAAGGTGACTGCTATTATTCTTAGTATTCTTAGTGGCATGATAGTAATAACTAACTAATGTTCGTCAAAAAAGTTTTTATTATTTCATCTAGTTGAAGTAAATGAATTTTCTATTTGATTGATTTTTAGGTAGAAGCAACTGACGACGATTGTTCAAGTCAGTCTAAAGTGTGCGGTTATGAAATAGTTACACAAAATGTTCCATTTTCAATTGATCAACAAGGATATATAAATGTAACAAAAGAATTGGCATTCTATAATTATCAATTTGAAGTTATTGCCATTGATTGCTTAGATAAAACTAAACACAGTGAGCCACCTGTGAAAGTTTATGTTAAAATAGTTAAATCATGTATTCCAACATTAAGCGGTAAGAATGAACGCTATGTTTTTTTTTTCCTTTTTTTGATATTTCATATAGATAATATTCAATGATTTATTTTTTTGTAGATGAATCAAGCAATTTACATACTGTTACATTTGATCATGATCATATATTAGAAACTGTACATATTGATGTGTGTCCCGATACATGTTTAGCAATTGAAGATTTAATTGGTCGCCTTGAATTCGACTTGAATGGATCGGAGTCGGGATGTAAAATGGATCAATGTGGTAAGTTTATTCTTCTTCTTTAATTAAACAAAATAAATAAATAAAATAAAAATTAAGCATTTATTTTTCTGTATCTAGTACCATTAACAAAAGAAATTGAACTTATTAAAAAAGATGTTGATTATTCAAATGCTCCTATAGATTATTTTATAACATTTGATAATCCTAGTCAAGCAATATCGATTGATAAAAGTAAATTTAATGGAGAATTTAATCAAGATTTTACAATTCGAATGTGGATGAAACATGGTCAAAGTCAACTATTAGATGGTAGTAGGGATAAAGAACATATATTTTGTAAAAGTGATAACAAAAGTATGATGAATAATGATTGAACATTTGAAATAAGTCTATTATTTAAAATTAAATTTTTGTTTTCTAGAAAAAAATCGTCATCATGTAGCATTATTAATTCAAAGTAATTCATTAAAATTATTAATTCGTAAAGTATCATCGACAAATGAAACGAATTATTATCCATCTGAATGGATTTGGACATTATCTCAAATAAATGATGATCAATGGCATTTTTATGAATTATATGTACATTATCCAACATCGGTATAAAATTTTTTTAAGTTTTACTGTATTTTATTATAGATTACCTTCTTTCTATATTATAGATTGATTTATATATTGATAAACAATTGTTTATTGTTAATGAAGAAAATTTTCAAATTATCAATGATCATCCACTAGAAAATATAAATGGAACAGATCAAACAGCATTTACTCTTGGTGCATGTTGGCATCCTCGAGCTTCACACATGCTACAAAATTTTAATGGAAAATTATCCGGTCTTATTATTGAGCAAAAAGAGCAAGAAGAAAGAGCAAATGGATGTATTCGAGAATGTGAACAATTTATTGAAATAGCCGATATTATTCCAAAAACAGAGACTGTTGTATGTATTCAATTTATTATCTCATTAAATTTATATCAATAAAGTATTTGATTTTTCTATTCTATAGGAATTTATTAGTAATGAAAATCAATCTGTTTGGATATTGCGTACAGATTCAACAGAATCATTTGAAAATTTATTAAAACATGTTGTCTATCGTAATCGTCCTATACCAATGATACCTGGTGAACGAAAATTAACATTGAAAACAAGTTTAAAATGTCTTGGTGATAATCATACAACAGATTTGAAACCATTTGTTAAACGTTTAATAATTGAATCAAAACCAGTAAGAATTGAATTAAAAGGAAATACAAATTATTTAATTGATGAACAGACAATTAATAGTGGAATATATTTATTTCAAAATTTGTCAATATTTACAGATTCTATTATCACACCTATACATGGTACAGTAAAACAATGTAGAAAACATAATATTTTATACTTTTCTTTATTTTTTTAAAATTTTTATTTCTTATTTCTTTAATTTAGCTGATATTAAAGAGTGTAGCATAAGTACACAGCCAAATCTCTTGTATGATTTTGAACAATTAATTATACCAACTGAATATATACTATCGCAAAATGTACAACATCTATTAACACAAACTGGCTTAATTTTAACGGGTAAGAATTTTTGATGAACAATAGAGTTTTTAAACAAAACATAATATGAGAAGCATTATGCTTTTTTCTATTAGTTCAATACAGTTGATTGCTTAAATATATACGAACAAGTGGTAAGAAATATGATTGTATTCATGCTGCTACTGCTCAATTTAGCTTTTAAAATGATTTTTCTCGGTTTCATTTTTCGAATCACATAACAAAATAAAACATTTATCTCTTCTCCTTCATTTTCATTAAGAGCAATCTTCGACAGTAAAAAAGAATAATTTTTTATTTTACATTCAGTTTTAATTAAGATTTTACTACAACATGTCCAGTATCATTTGTTTTATCTATTACATTTCAACAGTTAAAAATTGTGAAAATCCTTAAAAACTTTTAGAAAAGTCGAATTTTAGCTGAAGTTCAATTTAAAAATCGATTCTCAACGTTCGATACAGTTCTCATTTCTCTTTCAAATGAAAAACAAAATATTATCGTTCATCATAATTCAGCAAAAGAATATTCTGTTATTGCTCATTAAAAAAGATATACTCATTTTGACATCAGTCATCATTTTGAAGAGAACACTTTAACAATTGACTCGATTTTACAAAACTAATTTAGAAAATCTTTCTAAGAAGATATACATATAGGGTGTCCGTAAAGTCCTTAGAGTTAGAAAATGTTCAATGTTTTCGTCGTTCTTTACCCAAATGAGCTGTTTTTTTTTCTGAGTAGAGTAAGCGGATAGAAGTGTCTATTCATCACAAAACAGACCATTTATGAACATAAAACAAACAATTTTTTTAACGCTATAAGTAAACTTTACAACGAGGTTTTTTCTCATAGTTATATGCTGATGCTATAGTATATTCTTTTATTTATTTAATCAGAAATGTAACTGATATGTAAGCCTAGTTTGAGACAAATTGTCCTCCATTATTCATACAGACATGAAGGCGCTGTTGAACATGGTCAGGTTCAACGAGTGGTTTACGTTTTGTACAAAATAAGACATCATCGTAGCGAATTACTTATTTCATTAAAGAAAGTTTGCTGGCTTTACGTTCATAAATGGTCTGTCTGCATTGAATAAACACTTCTATTTAATTTCCACATTCAGAAAAAAAATCAGCTCATTTGGGTAAAGAATAAAGGAAATATTGAACATTTTCTAACTCTAAGGACTTTACGTACACCCTATATACTCTGCACTCTCACTCAATAGATACATATACTAAATTAAAATACGTCTTGTATATGAACTTATTTTAGAATCTTTATCTCAACTAGCTACTTTTATATGATTTCACTGTATGGGGGATTTCTCTTAATGTAAAAATAGCATTTTTGAAACAGTCCACCGAATCATCTCGTTGACGCTTTCTTAACACTCTTACATGGGAATTATTCTGTGTGTGTGTATGTATGTATGTGTGTTCACATTAACATCAAAATATCAATTAATTATGCTTCTAATAAATATATATAATCAAATATTCTTTTTTTTTAATAACTTTTGTTGAGGTGAAAATGTTTACTAATAATGAAATGAATGGTAGTATTAACATTATTTAATTTTCAAAATTCTTCTATTTTTACATTCTCAATCAGTCATTTTTTTTAAAATAGAAAAATCTTTATTATTTTTTAGGTCCGAGTTCAATTGATACATATCAATATATATTACAACAAATTGAATATATATCAAAATCGCCAATAAAATACAATGAACGTCTATTTTCATTAGTGTGTATTGGCGTAAGTGAACAAATGTTAACAAACGAAGTTCAAGTTCAAGTATGTAGTGATCGGAGATGTATCATAATATTTTTCATATATTTATCATTAATATTTTAATTAAAAAATTTTATTTTCAAAAAAATGATCCATATTTCATAATATAACAGATTTCTTATTTTTTTAGGTACATGTTGAATTAAATGCACCACAGCCACGTGAATTTTCTCAATCACATGCAGTTTTATCAAACAAATTAATCGTCGATAATAATGAAATGAAAAAGAATGCACAACCAATTGAAATTCCATCAATCGGTAGTAAAATCATGTTGGAGTCGAAGAAAATTACAGGTAAGTTTATAAATTTACACATTTTTCATAAATATGTTCCTTAACAAATATTTTAATATTTATGATAAATATACATTAGTAAGAAATCTCGTTAGTTTAAACAAAAAAGCCATTATGTTTAACAGTCATACTGCTTAGTAAGAATATGTTTTGAATTAAAAAGAAAATAAATAAGTCAAAGAATAATGAACATTAATTTGACACAAAAGATGTCTGATGACCAACCGCATAGTTTAATATTAAATATTTGTTCGTTTTGTTTGTAAATATAGAGTAATGTTGATCTCTCTCTCTATCTAACATTATCCTACATATATGTGTGATGTCATCATGTAGATGATCTGTGTTTTATTTATGTTTTATGTGACAAGTCATGTTCAACACCAGAAATATAATCGATATATTGATAATTATCACTCTTAAATCCTAAAGTCATTATTTTTGTGATATATGTTTAATCATAATTATATAGAGAAAGAGAAATATCTCGTCTAGATGAGTGTTAATCTTGATTCATAACATATAGTCATAAGACTGATTATCTAATCAAAAACATGTAGTCGTTTAATTTTGAGAACACAACCTGATTATTTCTAAGACCTGAAAAGGCTTATTATTATTGAACGAGTTATTGTAATGTTTCGATATATTTCAATTTTATAGACTGATGATTTAAATCAGTTTGGAAAGAGAAATTTTCGGTCAACGTTGTTATGAATGATAGCATGGCTTAGTGATTAGATTGTTCGTCATGTGTTCAAAAATGCTGTATTCGAATATCAGCGCTAACAAACTATGCAATGACCTTGAATGAGTTAGTTATATCTTAGTACTTCACATCACTTGTTCAATAGCACCCTTTCGGCGTTATTGTAAGGTATAATACAGTTTTTTTCAATTAGTCTTCATGACTTTCCTTGCAGAAGCTAGTAGTAGGTGATTAGTAAGTGTGTATGAGAAGTTCAAGCAATGTGAAGAAGAATTTTAAGTCATACTAGCCTTTTGGCCAGAGCTACAAATGATGAGACTGGTAACGGCATGAATGACCTTGTTAGAAGCTTGTTATCTATAGGAAAGATCTTGGGCTGCAGCAGCGATAGTGGGGTATTCTTTTTCCAATGGTATTCAGAAAATTTCTGTAATATTGATCATATCCGTCAAGATCTTAAAACTGAATGAAATTTGCGTGGCTATGCGTAAAAATCGTTTTGTCTTTTATTTTTTATACAAATCAAAGGTCAAACTACTCATTGTATGTTTTGATATTTTTCGTGATTAATATTAAAAATTTGGTTAATGAATAATTGTTCGGTTATTGTTTATATCACTTTGGTAGTAATAATTTATAAATTCAAGGATCTATTGTTCTTGTCCTGTGGAAGAAAGTGACTGTAATAAGCGAAATAAACATATGTGTTCAAGAATGTCCTATTTAATCATGCATTGTAATCGGTATTGACAATGAAGTACTTTTGAATCGAGGTTAAATCTATAATACATTTAACAGAAAAGAGAGAAGAAGAGTATAATACAACAGATTTATATGCATGCTAATGTCTAACAAAACAAGTCAAGGATAAACGTAACGTGACATGATGTTCAAGCGGTATACAGCATTGCATAATCATAATAACGATTTTCTAAAATTAGAATGTTTTCTGTTTTAGAGAATGTAAGAAAATGAAAATGAAGAGAGTTATTTCATTCGTAGAACTCTAATTTTATACCCTTGACTCTTCGGTAAACAAACATTATATATGTCTTGAGTAAAAATCGAGACTGATGTCTCAGTTGTTCAAAGTTGTGCATTGGTCTAAATTTTACTTCCAGTTCAGGCATATATTTTACTTTACAATGTTTAGTTTTAATCAGTTTTTTAATCAAAGAAGCCTTTTCATGTTAAACAATTAAATGTAACACACCGTACTACGTACATGTGAATGTTGAAATATCGCTTAAAAAATGAATCTTTTCTCTCTCTTTTTCTAAAATGATCTTGACATCACTTTTGTTTTAGCTAAACTATTCACTTTATCTTTGTTCCCTTTTTTCAAAGTTCATCAAAATAATAGTTAGTTAAATGAAAGACCTTAACACTGACATTGCCAATTGTGATAAAACGTAACAATATCTTGTACAATATTTAAATAACGTGTTTAATGTTGTGTAACAAATGAATAATTTTTCCTCGCTATAAAGTTAAGTTTGTCATAGATCTGACATGCATCTCTATTCATTTAGAAACATCTCTAAATAACTATTAAATAGTACACATAGTTCAAGTCTCGTCAAATCTAGAAATATCAATCATCATATAAGTTCATTTCCACTCTTATTGTTAACAACTTTTGTCGGGCATAAAAAGATGTTTCATTAATATTGAAAATGATGACCATTTCTGATCAAAAAAAGTTAACATTTCTATCTAGTTCTGTTATGATTTGAGAACATATTTTTTTTTTTTATGACGAAGAGAAAAACAAGTTGACAACACTGTAACAAATATAATGGGGCAACTGGAAGAGGTTAGTCAGCACACGAGTTTATCACTCTCGTATATTCTACCAGATCTATATTTGTCGTCTTTATTTTATTTTTTTTCTTCTTTTCTTTAACTATATGGATAATCATGTAAAATACAAGTCTCCCTTCTTTCTTTTCTATTCTCATGTATGGATGATGAAAAAAAAAACTAAAAGAAAAAAAATTGTTCCATCAAAAACTAATAGAGATGCCACTATCTCTTATTTTCTTCCTTTGCGAAAGCCTAAAAAATGTTACCAGAATACATACTGTAAAATATTATCTGAATCATTTTGTCTGTGCTTGTGCACGCATCATCTTTTTTTCTTCGTTGTTGTTGTTGCTCTTCTCCTATATTCACTATAGTATCATTATCATTATTAAGCACAGAAGTTCCTCACGCTCCTCATTTAGTTTACGTTTCAAACAAAAAAAAGAAAAACGAGAGAAAAGAAAAAAAAAAGAGGAAGAGAGAGAGAAACAAATGTTCAATATGTTCATCACTACTACAGAGAATATTTGATCAGAATATAAAGTTTTATTTCGATAAGAAGAAAGAAAATTAATACCACTCACCTCGGCTTTCTATTTTTTACACGAGATTTTTCTTTTATTATTGAAAACTAATTTTGTTGTCTATTTTTTTGACCTTTAAACAAGTAAAAAAACGAATTACAAAATATTTATGTATCTCAAAAACAAAAACCATTGAAAAAGAAGTACACAATGTTTCTCTCATCGGCACTAAGTATGTATATAATTGTTTTTTTAATTTTTTATTTTTATAGTCTAATTTTAAACTTGATTTCAAACAAAAGAAACGAGATATAGAGACGAAATATTTATTTATAAGATAATATACTTTAAAAATTACTAGACTATTTTGAGAACGTATCATTATTCTGTTAACTTGATCCTATAGTTTTCTCGTGGAAAGTAGTATTTCACTAGTTTTTTGTTTGTTTTTTAAAGTCAGAATAGGCTGTTGATGCACAAAAGAATATTGTGTGCGAGTCATCAACTGTATATTTCTTAAATTAGAAATTCGTTCTCTTAAGAAAAATGTTGATCAGAATCAATATGCGCTTCAGATGCAAATTCTTGAACTCTTGAGCATATAACTTGTTGTAAAAAAAAAAAACTTTAAGTTTCAGTTATTACAATTTTTCAGTGTCTTATTGTATTATGAACATCTCAATCTTATGATAGAAACAGTTTTAATATCTGTAATAGTTGATAAGATTTATTTGTTTTATTTCAAGTCCAAATTTATCATGTCCGCGTATTCTTGAGAAAAAAAAAAGCGTTTTGTTTGACAAACTATGAATATAGTGGTGAACAGAATAGAGTTGAATGAATGGCATTTGTCTGTAATATAAAAAGAAAAAAATGTACTTGACCGCCAGTTTTTTTTTTCTTCTTCTTTCTTTTCAAATTTAAAGAACTATAATGACTAATAAAACTGTTCTCTGTCCTATTATTGAATATCCTTTATCCTTTTCCCTTTTAACAAGGACATCCTGCTGTATATTATTTTGAAGATTACTTTTCACAAGTGTACATATGAGTACTTTAATTTTTATATACGATAAATTGTTCATTTTCATCTTGTTTGATGTAAGTGTGAAAAATGGAAACACTATCGTTTAAATAGCATCCATTAACGTACTATTATCAGTTGAATGTATATATTTATTGAGCCAAGGTTCTTTCGTAGGCTTTATTTTTTTTAATGTTAAAAAAAATGGTATTCTCGATTTTTTAAATAGTCAATTCATTTCCTTTATCTTGACAAAAAAAATTTTTTTTTTTTCAAAAAAAGAAATTATATATACAGTGAGAACTTTATTTATCAAAATTGCATATCTCTTGTCATTATTGAAATGATGACCTGTAACGTCTCAATGATAATTGTGATTTTCTTTTTTGGGTTGAGCCGTTTATTTGTCACGCTCGGAAGCGCTTGCAAATATGGATATAAAAAAGATGGACATATTTATCAATCTGGATAAAATAAAAATAAACAAAAACATAGCAGAATTACAACATGATTTAAATCTCTATTTAATTTAACTAGTTGTAAATAATCTAACCGGAAGGGGATAGGGTTAAGAAGAGAAAACGAAAGACACGGGCACAAAATACATCAACAAAAAAACAAAATAAAAAGAAATATCATGGAAGAAAAACATGCCATAATACTTCCTACTTACACTTAGTACATGTCTAGAGAGGAAAAGGAAAAGGTAAACATTTTCATCACCACATAAAGTGGGAGATAGGGATGAGAAATAACAATAATGAAACAACACTAGAAACCAACACGACGTATATTGCCTTCTAGTGTTAATCGATAAACGTCAACCATCTAATAGTAAAGATATGCGTCTTTTTTTCACCTTTTTTATATGATTTTGTTGAAACAAATGACGAATCTTTAATGTCTTTTTTTCCATTATTCATAAAATTATCCTAAAAGAATACATCGTTTAAGAATAAAGACTGGCCTAAGTCAGTTCGATAAACATTCGAAAGTCTTTTTTCGAGGTAGTTTTTCCCGTAAAACTAGAGATAACTTTTGTTTGTTGACAAAAGAATGTCATGAACTGAAATCGTGGGACATCGATGCACAATTCGCATTCCTACGCGAAATTTTCTCTATAGTAATGCTTTTGTGTGACCGGTAACATAGAAAGAAAGAACCATGTAAAGAAGGAAAAAGTGTACGAAAAGAAATAAAGGCTTAGAATGTGAGTAAAGATAATTCTATTTCTTTTCAGCCTTTTGAGTTTGACAAAACATTTTTGTTCTCAAGACATTGGTCTACTGTTGGTTTTAGCGAACGTTTGTCTGTTCACATACATCCAAGGTACTTTTAACAATTTCAACTTTTTTCCCATCAATAAAGATCTCAACTATCGGTTATTTCACTTGTAAATGGAAAATCTGAGCCACTGTTTTATTAATATTTATCAGTTGTTTCAGAATATTCGAAAATTCTCTCGCACAATTTTATACCCCCAACTATTCTAAAACTCAGTTATTGATGATGATAATATTATTTCTTGTCTAAATAATTATGTTCGGTATGTATAGTTATTTTATCTTATTTCTCTATTTATCACGTATCATTTGAATTACATTCTTTTCAAAACAATAAACTCAATCGTTTTTTCATTCGTGTAATGACCTTTTTTTTCATCTTCTCTAGTAATTGTTCTAGTTATGTTATTTCTTCTTTTTTTTTGATGTTCCATATAATTAACATTGATATGTATAATACATCCTTCGATTATATTTTCTACTGCCCTTGGTTAGTATACATTGTAATCTAAGAAACAGTTGTTGTAATCTTTCTCATCATCTTTTGTTGTTTGTTGTTACTATTAAGTAGCATAACAAAAATGCTTTTAAGTTGTTGATAATTGAAAGAAAGTGGTTCATCAGCCATCAAAAGAAAATCTTATTGTGTACAATTTAAAATGAACAAATAATAAGTGTTTTTAATGTTTATAATGAAAAAAGCAAAAAAAATTACATATTAGAAAATAAAAATAATGTCCACTACTCTTTTTTATCGTATCTAATTTGCTTATCATTTTCTGTGATATAATGTCAGCCTATTGAGTGATTACAACATGTGTTCATTGAATTTATGATCCATTTTTTTCTACAATTCATTACACAATTATTTTTTGTCTGTTATGATTGCATATTCTATGTAGTTGGTATATAATAAAAATACAATAGTTCACAATAAACAGTTACCATTTACCTGTTATACTAAATTTTTTGAAAGTTACATCTATACATCTTGAAATTGTGTTTCCTCTATTGCGAATGTGTTTAATTGGTTTAATGCATCACGCAAAATATTTAGATATGATTGATAATGTCACAAGTTCTTTGAATGTGCATGAAGGAAAGATTACGGCAGTAAGTAAATTTAAAAGTTGAATATTACATCATATTCTGTTATCGTTTAACGTTCATTTACTATCTTTATTAATAAACTGATATAAAAAGTTTTGTTACGTCATCTTTTATTTTTTGTTGAATAGTTTTGAGCAACGATTGTATCTATTTTCTCATGTTTATTAAAAACATGAACGGTTGAATATTGATAGTACATTGTGACCAGACGGTGTTGATAAATAATGAATATATACACATATTTCATCGTTTTGCACACACACACACACACAACAACGAATGAGAGTTGTTAATCAAACACTACCATTGAGATGCGTTTATATAAAGAGAATAAATCATTTTCTTGTGTATAGCCTCAGAGGCATCGAAGTATAAATGCATTTTCAATATAAGCAAATATTTAATTGTCTTGTCTTCAACCATGAAATTTTAATTAATAAAAAATATTTGTTCAAGTTAAGATACAGTAATCGTTTCCCTTTCATGTATTAACCCTAAGAACTACAATAGTAAAAGCTAAAATCAATAGACTTACAATATTGAGATAAAAATTTGGAAATTATTCAACTTTTTAAACAATGATATTAAAGTACTTTTTTATCATTATTAATTAAATATTATCGATTATAATTCTATTGTTTTCTTTATTTAAGGCTGGCCGATTGCAACCATCGTTTTAGCTTGCCTTGGTTTTGTCAGTATTCTTATTGGTTTTCTTGTTCTACGCGTACGATCAAACAATAAACAGCGCACCTCCGGTGATGATCATTCGCAAATGGAATGGGATGATACAGAACTAAATATAACTGTTAACCCGTTGGATGAAACAAAGGTAGAATAATAGTTAACCTAGAATTATTATTTTCAATTAAAGACTAAGCTCATCTTCTGCATACTTCAAATAATAATTTGAAAAGATCATTTTGAATATTCACTGACCTTCAAAATGCAGAAAGCTAATTCGACATCAACTACATCCCTCTTGAGCAATAAAATATTAAATATAATAGATTAAATGGGATTAATTTGGTTTTACGCATTAGAACCGTATAACAATTTTCATCTAGTCACTCGTATCTCATATTACAATGGGAACGAAGAAGAGTAATTATATAATAACGAAATGAATATATATACACACCTCATAGTATATGCGGTCTTTTAACTAGTTTAACAACAACTTGCTAACTATACCTTGAGTTCTATTAGGTATAGAAAAAAGTTTCAATTTGTCAAAATTTATGAGTGTATACAGTCAGTATGTGTATACGGTCAAATAGCTAATATCTAACAAGATAAATAAAACTGAATAACTAGACAAAAATTATCTGATTTTTTTTTCATTGTTTCAGAAAGCTGTACCACCCGTGTTGACGGATATTGAACATCATATTGATCGTCTTGATTCATCGTCATCAAGCACGGATAATGAATCAAATGGCTATGAATCGGATGAAGCACCTGAGAAAAGAATTGAACGTGAATTAGAATGGGATGATTCAGCTGTCGAATATGGTCCAAAAAAAGTTTAATTGAATAAAATCATATTTTTTGTCGTCAGGAGTGACCACCCATTTCTTTTTTGTTTCAATGATGTTGTTTGTTCATTTTATTGTTTTGACATGAAAAAGAATAACAAAATGTTAAATGGAAAAATATATGTGTTTGTTTAAAGAATACGCGTTTCATTTTTTTTTTTTGTTTTGTTCATTGTATTATTCAAACGTTTATTAGTGCCTTTTTCTCTCTCTCTCTCTCTCTCTCTGTAAGATGACTTTGGTTATAGTTAACGACTTAAAATAGATAAAAATAATTGATTGTGTTTGAATGCGATGAATATTATTTCGCATAACTTCGTAAAAGAAGTCAACCGGTTTTTTTGTATTTTTAATTTTTTTTGTTTTGTTTTATGTATATGTGTGTGTGTATGTGTGTTAATGAGCAGTATTTTCATTGCACAAATTTTAATAAAATAAATGTGTATATCTGTATTTTACTCTTTGTTTTGTCATTTTGCCTTCTCGCATATGCGCTCGTTTCTCTGTTTTCTCTATATAACGTTTGTCATTTTTTTTTCTCTTCATTTTAAAAATGTCTATTGAAAATAAATAAGTCAAAAATAATATTATAACGTCATTTCCAATGATACTAATGCAGATTACAGCGAATAATGAATGAAATGATATTGCGCAGGTTTTGTTCTATATAGTTACTGTAACTTTTTTCTGTTCCATAATGGACGAAAAAGAAGATACATCGTATTCTATTAGTCTTCAATCGGCTGTCTTTTGATTACATTTTTCTTTTACAGAAGAAAAGAATTACAAATTACTGAATATATGTACAGACGTCATTTTATCAAGGATAAATAAGACTTTTTGCTTTTTGTTGTTGTTAATTCAAGAACGTCAAGCGATTCACGCACATTTCTTTTTCATTTGATTTATTATCGGTATTTAGACAGAATCTGACAGAATTATCCTGCCTACGCTATCCTGTAGGATGGTTTTGAAAGAGGATATAAAATTTTGTGTAAGATATAAGGTACAAACAATATTTTGTTCCACAATGATAAATAGATTTTTGCTCTAGATGACATATTTTAGTAATGATATTTTATATTACTACGTAAAAATAAAATATTAGCACGTTGTTGAAAGCTGATGAAGGAGTTCTGTTGTGCTCAGACTTAGTGGAGAGGATACAAATTTTTTTTTGTACGATACATCATAGAATTCAGAAAAATTCACATCTTGTCAGACTCTTGATGCAACTTGTTTTTATTCTATCTCACTCACAAGTATTAATCACTGTCAATGTCAACAAGATTTCTCATCTTGTTGTGCTTGACGACTCACGCTGACGTTTCGCTCTGATTGACGCCTAAAATTTATTTTGTTGAAAATGATCAGTTACTATCTGTGGGATGTGTATTTTTCTTCCTGTAATCTAAAATATTTTCCAAGTCACTGGTTATGCCAATTGTAGATTAAGCTGTTGTTTTTGTTTTTAGGGTTTAGATTTCTGATACCATTTTATCCATGCTATTTTTATCTTAATTTTCTGTCTATTACTGTCGCTATTCTGATTTATTCTATAATATATTTACTATCGACCAATTAGACTGCAAGATGTCTATACCTGTTAGTCCATGGATTATTATGGACTCATTTATGAAATTATTATCCATATATTATTAAAATTAAACTTATTTCGATTTTAAATGAAATAATATCAAATTATCGTATTATTAACCGTATACACTCACTTATTCAGTATGACGAAATCAATTTATTTAACATCAATCAAATATTTTAAAATGAGTATTGATGAACGAGATCATCGTATTTATATTCAATTTATAACTGATTATAATCTCATTCCTTGGTTATTCTACTCAATAATAACCAAGGATACGTTCCATGGATACATGATATCTAGATTTCAAACAATTTTATCAATCAGAAAATGATCTACTCATATTGAATTATGTTAATAAATTGAAGATTAATGTTAAAAATAACAAAACTTAGAATGAATGACTTCTCAACTGGTATGTAAGATATAAATATTTCAACAACATTGAATCCTAGAAAAATTTTATAATATTTGACAGTACTTTGTATTGTTTTTTAAATTTGATGTAAGAATGTAGCTGCACTAGTAATCGTACGTTGTCGATGATTATAAAATAGTTTTATTTTTTATCAAATACTTTGCGTTCAATTAGTGTACAAACCCCTTTAAACTCTATACATTTATGAAAATTTTAAGTTCAAAATGAGCAGACATATTAAATGAGTTATTGAATCTCCACTACAAATATGACTAAAAGCGTATGTGTACTTTCTCATAGACGTCAAGTAACACATACTGTTTAGGTCAGTCAGACATCAACTGTCTAATAACAAAATACTATAATTGAAAAGCATTTGACAGGAAAAATTAAGTCATTTCATGTTTAATAATCATTTGAGTTATTGATGGGTAATAAACGAAGTAAAAGTAAGATTTTTACAGCAGCTTTATATAAAGTCACTTGAATATTTATTTATTCTCGGCGTTTCGAAAATTTATATTTTCATTTTCAAAGAGCGTACAAATAGAATATTATGAACTTAATATTCTATTTTTGTTAATATTCTATATATTGTGATTTGTACACGCCTTAAAAATGAAAAGATAAATTTTCGAAACGTCGGGAATAAATAAATATTCAAATGACTTTATATGTTTAATAATATAAATTGCTTTTTAGTGCGTCGATTCATTGATCAATAATAACGATGGTCACTGAAATTGTAATCATCTCAAACTCATGCAATTGGTCACCTCGATGAGTTTTACTACAAGCACACACAAAAAAAAAAGTACACCAACCGTTAAAACAAACTGCAAAAACAAAAGAAGAAAAACGGCAGCAAACCAAAAACTTCAAAAAAGAAATCAGCAGTAAAGTAAACGAGGTATTTCTATGACTATAAAATAAATCTTTACGTTACGTGCTGGACTTCTACAACTTTTCAGAGAGTAAAGTAGAGAGAAAAGAGGAAGAAGAACCAGGTGGAGAAAATGAGACAGCGCTGCGCAGTTTATAAGACAGTGTTCGCTTGCCCAACCGTAAAAAAAGATAATGCATCGATAAATAAGAGAAGTAAATAATAGTTTGAGCTCTAATAATAACCAAGCTGTTTGAGAAGAATTCTCGATCTATACCATAGAACAAGAACCACTTATATAGCTTCCTAGAATACAAACTAAACAACGCACTAATGAAAATCGAAATTCCCAGCTGCCTTCGATGACAATTCGATAGTAACCGGTGATGATAGTAAACAACATGAAAGTCTTTCTTCATCAGTCATAAATGTTCAAGCCAAATGCATGGAAAATCCTTGAATGTTGTTGAATGTTAGACGAGAAGAAAGTTTAATAAAAAAAGAACTTATTTCTTAGAATATTACGTAATCTTTAGAGTATAGCTATTAGACTGGGAGATGATGTAACAGAACCTTCTAATGAATAGTTGTCATCCATTCACATCAATTTGCCACTACATTGATTAAAATTGAGTGACAAAAAACTTCATCGTCTTTCGTTGTTGATTTGCCTGTCTTTATTTTAACGGATTTCTCTTTTCCATTTATTCTATTGGCAAATACGGTTGTAGAGAAGGGGACTAACAATCCTAGTTATCTCCACGGACTGAAGCTCGTAAGATTTTTCGTGGAAAAGCCGATTAAAGAGAAGATTTATCCGTAAAACTCTACTTCTGCTAAGAGTGCAAAGAAGTTACAGAATACATATCGAATAGAGTTGGGGCATGGTAAACAAATAAACGAACGAATGAACACATTCAGTAATATCAGATATACAAATTCTTGAAAGTAAAGTTTGGATTTTTGTATCTTTTAAGTTATAAAGAAGATTCTACAATGCAGGCAGAAAGTGCATTCCATTCTCTTTTAGAAATCTAATTAAAAGCGAATTTACAAAGGATGTTTTTATTGGAGCAACTGCTTGTGAGTGGCTATACCGGCTGTATATAATGAGTGTCTTGTGTCAGCTGTTTTTCGTAGATTAAAGTGAAAAAGAGCGATTTTGTTATTTATTATTTTTTCGGCAGTACTGTACTGTATACGAGTGATTTTGCAGTAAGAGTTGGTAAAAAATGTTACAAGTGGCAAACATAAGAATGGAAGCCGTTACTATGCACAAAGCTAGGTACTGAAATGCGTTTAGCAACTGAGCATGTATTTTAAATATACTGCTAACAACAGTCGCAGCATATTTCACAATCAGGCAAACATAAGCTGCGTATGAATGGTGTGTATATTTGTGAGATAGCATCACGAAATGTACGATTTATTATGTCCAGTTTCTTAATAACTGTTCGCTATGTTCTCTATAGGTTTGTCCTATTTTAAGTTGTGACGTAGTACAACATCTAGTAATTTCACCTCTCTAATACGTTGCAGAGGTTTCGCTCTAAGCATTAAAGTAGCTGGACCAAGCGAAAAAAGAAATTGACAAAAAGATAATCTTCTTTGTGTTAAGCCCAACTAGTATACTGGAGTCACGTTATTTATTTCTTCTCTTGCATCGAAAGAATTTACGTTTAATGGGGGAGAAATACAACAGAAAATATCATCAGCGATTATAGTGATGTTTATGATGCATGGGAGCTTGTTGATAAACGACAAAAGTAGTCAGGAGTCCAGATCACGCTGTATTCGCCAACACAGATTTGAACAAATCTCTCCCCAGAGTAGAAGGCCACCCGTGAGACATTTCTGAAACATCCATAATAGAAAGCTATGACCAGCTGCTCCATTTTTTACGAAAAGTTTGCATCATTGAACTTCTAAAACACTTTCATATTGTGCATGTTTTCAAAATTTGGTAATGGATCAGTATTTCGATTTGTATGCAACAATTTTTGTGCAACTATTGTATCTACACACACTGGAAAATGCCCATAATCACAAAACTTATACAATACACGTACTTTTCTCTGCTCTATACACTTGCA